CAGGGTGCTGGCTTTCTGTGGGACCCTGGGCAAGTGTCTTTTCCTCTCTGGTCCAGTGGTATCCCAGCCTTAAGCAGCAGGGGCAGGGAGGGATGAACTCAGCACAGAAGGCCTCACAGCTGGGAAGTTCTCAGGTGTCTGGATGGCCAGAGGGGCATCCTTTCTACTCTGTCTCTCCTTCCTCCTCCTTCCCTCAGCCAGACCCTCAGGGATGGTCATGCCTGTCCCACTTTCCCTCTCTCCCAGCAGGGGACAGTTCTCACACACAGGGTAACTGCTGACCCTTGGGCTTCAGGGGTCAGGGTGTGGTTGGGTCTCACTGGGGACTGGGAATGCAGACCTGAGTTCCTGGAGTCACAGCTTCTATTCCTCAACCCAGGGGCCCATCTACCTGGGACCCTCCCTGAGGCTCCACCCCAGGACCAGGCCTGTCCTCAACAAGTATAATGTCCCCACTGCTTCAAGACCTTCAAGAACCACTCCCACCCCCTCCAGGAAGCCTTCCAGGAATGCTCTAGTGCCCACCAAACCCATCTTTCCAATCCCTGATGGTTGATTTGTATAAGCTTGGTCTTTAAGCAGCCTGGGGCTCTGTGAGGACAGGGCTCAGCCTTTCTCATCACCCCTGGCTCCTGAGCACAAGCAGATAGACCCAGTGGGAAGGCCCCTGTGGCTGGAGACCACCTAGTTTATGTGTTTCCATTTTAACACAACTAGGGCTTCAGAATGTCTCTAGACTGGGGTTCTGGGAAGTGGAGACCCCCCAGTCCTCCCCACAGGGTTGGGTTAGGTGAGGCATCTCTTCCCCCGTCCCGGCAGATGTCTCAGTATTGATGGGCCTGCCATTCTCAGCAGGACATGGTGTGAGCCTGAGGTCAAGGAGCCGAGGCTGAGCCGGGCTGGGCTTAGTGATTCCGCAGGAGGAAAATGACCCTGTCCACGAGGCTGCGGGACCCTCCTTTGCAGCCACGAGGCCCACAGGGACAGGCAAGGGGAGGTGCCTGAGTAGGGCAGATAGAATGAGGGATGGGAGGAGGGAGAGATAGAGGATTTCGGGAGAAGGGAGGGAGGGAGCGGGGATGGAGAGAGGGGTAGGGGGAGGGAGAGAGAGAGAGAGGGAGGAAGGGAGCTCGAGAGGGAAGATGGAGGGAGGGAGGGAGGGAGGGAAGGAGGGTAAGAGAATCACATAGATAGAAAACAAGATAGAGACTGAGAAATACACAGAGACATACACACAAAAAGAGACAGAGAGAAAATACACCCAGAGACAGAGATAGAACTAGAAAACAATAGAGACTGAGAAATACACAGAGACATACACACAAAAAGAGACAGAGAGAAAATACACCCAGAGACAGAGATAGAACCACACACAGAAATAGAGACAGAGCCATGGAGACAAAGAGAACAACACAGAGAGAGACACGCACACAGAGATGGGCACAGGAGTGGAATACAGGTGAGAGGTGGGAGGAAAATGGAACACAGTGCCCACCTCCGGCCAGACCACTGCTGGGCTAATCCACTTCCCTTCTCCCTACAGACAGGGAGACTGAGGCCCAGGAAGGGGGTGGGACTTGCCCCAGGTTCTACTGTATATGGACATTATGATAGTTTTGGGTGGCCCAGAATTTGAACCTGATTCCCATATGGGCTTCGGGGAAACCTGGGAGAGGCAGAGAACACCTCCTGCCATAGGGCTGAAATGCCAGGCCCTCACCTTCTAGGCTCCCTTGTAGCCAGAGCTGGAGTGTGGGGCCCAAAGCTCCACACTCCCCCCACCTCAACAGATGCACTGGCCGCGAGGAATTCAGTGAGCTGGGGGCCCACAAAATGGAGATGGGCAGAGTGTTTCCTGGGGACCACTGCAGGAAGCTTAAGAACCCAAGGCAGTGATGACAGCAGGGCCATGGCCCATCTGGTGGCCAGGGCTCGTGGCGTTGTCAGGGCCCATTCAGGGAGAGTAGGGGTTCCCTCACTGGGCCAGCTCTGCCCTGAGTTCTTGGCTGGGGACCCCATTTCTGGTTCTGGTTCTCCGTTCCATCAATTCTGTAAGCTCCCCGATAGCCTTTCAACAAATTCCTTCTCTGTTTAAGCCATCAGATTTGCTTTCTCAGAGGCAGCAGAGCCTTAGTTAGAATCCTTGTTCTGTTTTAAGCTGTGTGACTTTGGGAAAGTCACTTAACTTCTCTGTGCCTCCGTTTCCCCATGTGTAATATGAGGATAATACTATGTCTCTGTTATTGGGTGTGTGTAAAGATTAATGAGTTAACACAGGTCAAATGACAGTACAGACACACAGAACCTGCACCAGGTGGGGGAAAACACTGGAGGGGACTCAGACACGTGGACACTTAACTGGGTTCTGCCATGGACGAGCATGTGTGGCCTTGAACAAGTCCCTTCCCTTCCCTTGGCCATTGCTGAATCTGGAAGCAGTCTCTGGGCAAGAATAACAAGGCTCTGACCAAGTCTCCCACTCTTGCTACCTGTAGCTGTTGGCTAACCACACAAGAACTCCCGAATACCTTGTCTCCAGACCAAGGCACTAGCCTGGGCTTCCTCAACCAGCCAATTGCGTTCTCCATATCTTCACTCAGACGTCCCTGCAGCTCCTCAGACCACATATCGTCTACTGTGCTCAGCTGAGTGGACCAAAGTACACGAGTACTGTTGCCTAAGCTTCTGTCCCATGCAGGCAATGCCCGCCCTCTAAAACATGAGGTTTCAGAGGGGGTCTGGCTGTAGCATAACAAAATTGGGTAGGAATAGGAGCCGGGACCCTTCCTCCTCTTCCCCCAGGCTTCTCATAGGAGCTTTCTCCCTCCCCGTGTCCTTCTTTCTCCAGGAAAGATCCCACTGCAAAGGCAAACAGAGCAGGAGGAAGCGGTGGCTAGGAGGCAGGGGAGGAGAGAAATCAATCACCCCATTGCCATTGCCATTAGCTACCTTGGCTCTTCCCACTTCAGCCGCCACACTGGTTAATGGCAATGCCGCTTCTGCCCCACATGCTTCTCCCGTTCGCCAGCAGTCAGAGTGCAGGCAGCACTTTGGTCCAAATGAAGAAAATTGTTCATTAGTACCAGGGGCTAACTGGCACGTTTGCCAACCGCCGTGGCACCCTGACCTTTTTTTCAGCTTCTCATTTGACGTGATGTGAGTGGTCTGGTACGTGCTGCGGCACCTCCTTTGGGAAGTCTTCTCGCCTCCCCTCCCCTCTCCCTCCTCGTCCCACAGCCCCCTTGCACTCCCCAGTTATCACTCTGTATCCCTTATGTCTGTTGCAATTGTGAGTGGGGGCCTCAATGCCAGTGCAGTGGCTGGCACACAGCAGCTGTTTAATAAACTGTTTGAATACTGTGCTCAGCTTGGCAATGGAGAAGAGATCCAGGCCCTGTCCTCGGGGGCTCCAGGCTGGTTGCGGGGAGAGGGGACAGCTCAGGCTGTAGGAACCAGAGCAGAGCTGCCTCAGGTCCACAGGCCGTGTGGTGGAGGGGCCGCATCACCTCACTTAGCGCTCGGTCTCTGGGCTCAGACTGAGTCAGGGCCCCGGATCTCCACTGCCCGACCCCACATGGCTCACAAGATCCTAAAAATAGTTTTATAATCTCAGGACTGGGAAGGAGCGTGGAAGCCAGTCCTTCTGCTTGCACACCTCCTGGGTCAGGGACATCACCTCCTCCCAGGGAGGTTTGTTTTAATCATGGGTAGGAAGTGTGGTCAGATGACGCAGAAATCTTCCTCAGCAGCCCCACTACCTCTCTCACTCCCTTCCATTAGGAGCACCACTGCCATTGGATTCCTCCAAGCACAGCTGTTCTCTGGGACACGAGAGCCCTCCGCTGGTGCAGACAGGGGAATGCCACTCAGCCTCAGATGCAGGTGCTACGGTCTAGCCCTCTAACCATCTCTCGGGGTGAAGGCCTGAGTTTGGACAGGCATGTGTGTGTGTGTGTGTGTGTGCGCGCGTGCGCGCGCGTGTGAGTGAGGTGACAGGGGAGCTGTGCCCCTATTCAGACACACATTCAGAGACAGGTTGCTGTGATGCTTCCAGGATGAGGGGCTTCAGACAAACAGATGCCCTCCACTCTTGCCCAGCGTCTCAGAAGGCTCTTTGCTGGTGGGGCGGGGCTGCCTCACAAGACACTCCCACTTGGCTCCCATCAGACCTTCCACAGAGCATAGACTCGGGCACCCCCTCCCCTCCCAGAGCGCATCCGGAACAACCCCACCTGGATGCTGTGTGACTCCTGTAGCCTCTGCTGCCGTCCTCCCCAGAGTGTCAAGCCAGCTGGTGATTGGCCAGGAGGAAGGAGAGCACAGGCTGTTCTCCCAGGGGGTGGGGGTGGGCGGTCCTGATTCAGACACCATGCGTTACCTGGGTAGCAGGAGTAATGCTGACCACCGCCCCGGGCTCACAGCCCAGAGGGACAGTCCGGGGGCGTCTGGGTAGGGAAGAAGCTACACCCCACACTCCGGCCCAGAAACGGCTGCGCTTTGCGTGCCCCCAACACAAGCCTCACCCCATTTTTCCTGCCTCCTGCTCTCCCACAGTAGAGTCTGATGGTGGCACTCACCCTGGGGGCTGGGAACTTGGCCTACGCGCCCCACCCCTTCCCACCTCCCCGGGGAGATGGGGGGCGGAAATTGGCTAAACACAGAGACGCCCCAATGGAGAATCTTCAGGCACCAAGAGTATATAATGTGGGAGAGAGGTTTGTCCTCAAAAGGAAAGAAGTGTTTCCTTCTCCCCGTTCTGAGCTCTCTGCGCAGTGGAGCACGGGAATCGTGGGCAAATCACTGCCTTACTGAGGTCTGAAGCTAACGGTGAGGTAGGGGCGGAGGGAGCGCCCACAGTATTACGTCTTTAACGCCGGCTGTAGGACGGTGCCACCGCCCTCAGGTCTTCGACGCTGGGTCCGGAGCCCTCGCTACCCCCTAAACCGCCCTCCTGGGAGGCGGGTGCTGAACCCGCGGCGGAGGGTCCGGGGGACACTCACGGGTCGTGTTGTACTTGACGCCGTTGAAGTACTCGGGGCACTGCCTCTCCACCAGAGCTCCGGCCGCGCTCCGGGGCCAGCACGTCCCGATCTGGTCCAAGGTCGTGTTGCAGTAGGAGTAGGGCCCTGACGACGGGAGAGAGCAGAGCGGGGCTCAGAGGGGTTGCTGGGGGCGCGGGGCGCCGCAGGACGTAGGGCGCTCGGCGCTCGGAGCGCGGGGCCCTGGGCGCACCCAGCGCGCCAGGGAAGGAGCCCGCGCCGACCCTGTCCGCTCGCCTCCCGCCTACCCTCGGGGTCCAGTGGCAGCCCCCAGCCGTCCAAGAGCAGCTCTTCTGTCAGCTCCAGGCTGCAGTTGGCCTCCAGCAGGCTGTGGAGCAGTGCCGCGTCCATCGCGCCCCAGAGCCGCGCGCCGAGAGGGAGTGTGAGTGCGCGTCCGGCGTGGCTGCCAGGGGCTGGGTTCGAGACTGAGCGGCCGAGAGAGCGCAGGGGCCTGGCGCTGCTCGCCCAGCCCGACCTTCCGGACAGCCTCCGGACGCTGCGCCGGATCGCCCGGAGCTGCCAAGTTGGGACCTTGGCGCAGAGGAGCTGCAAAGCGCACGGAGCTGCCGGCCCACCCGCTAGGTCGCGGCCAATGGCGGCACCAGGGGGCGGGGCCAGGCGGCTCCTCTCGCCCTGGCCCAGGCTCCCGCCCCCGGCCCATCAGCCCTGCCCTGGGTCCGCCTTCTCAGGCCCCGGCAAGGTCCGTGGGACGGTGGCGGGAATGGAGAGTGTGGGCCTGGTGAGGGGAATGACCCGTCCGAGGACCGAGGCCCAAGGGTTGCATGGCGCAGCAAAGCGCGCCCGCCCGCCCGAGGAGCCAGAATCGGGTGGCTCGCCGCCTGACTTTGTCCTCCTTGAGCGAGGACACTGGAGGGGGTGACAGGGGGAGTGGCGAGTCCACGTGCAGATGTGCGCTCTAGAAAAGTCCCCTTAGCCTCTGGGAGGGAAGTGGATTGGAGGGGCTTTGAGGGAAGCAAGGGAGCCACTGAAGAGTTTAGTGAGATCAAATGGCCTGAATGGGTGCAGACCCGGACCAAGCCACTTCGGGGAGTGCCAGCCCTGGTGAGGAGGAACTGGAGTGAGGAGTGGGTGGGTGGCTTCCAACAGGAGCCAGGAGGCAGGGATAATGCCAGGTCTCCCGCTTGGGTGACTGGGGGCGGGGGTGGTGTTGTCATTTAATGACATGGAAAAGTCCAGGGGAGAATCTGGCTGAAATTATCTGGAGGATTTCAAACACCTGGGTCTTACTGCCCTGGGTTTCAGAGGGAATAAAGTGAGAAGTGAGACCCTCTCTTCCTCTTGCTTCCACGTGTGTGTGTGTGTGTGTGTGTAGGAGAGATCAGACCCCATAGCAAGTGTGGAGGAGCTAAAAACCTTCATTTGGAATTTGCCTAGGCCCCTCAGGACTGCCTGCTCCATAATTCCCTGCGGTTCCACTGAGTGCCTAGGGCAGGCCCACTACTCATGCCTGCTGAGTGGGGGGATCTGGGCTCAAGAGACAGGGCCTGGGGTGTTGTTCACCCCCAACTCAGTCTTTACTCTCTCTGCCTCTGACTCTACTCTCTACGCATTTTACCCCAATTCTCATCCTCTCTTCTGGGGCAGTTTCTCCATCATTGAAATGTTCTTAGAGGCCCCTCCCAGCCCTGGCAATCTCTGGTTCTGAGTTATGAGATACAAAGGCAGATGTACAAAGGAAGATGTACCTGTCTGTGAACGTGTGTGTGTGTATGTGTTTCTATATTCAGAGGGCAGGGAGAGCTGGGACCCAGTCCCAGCTGGGCTGGAAGCCCCAGGGGAGCTAGACCTATCCCTTCTTGCCATTCGCCACTGGGAACAAAGCTGCCAGAGAAGGCTGAGACCACCCTGAGCCAGCATTACGCCCTGAGCAGGGAGAAGAGGTAGGCTGGGCCGCCTTTGTGTGCTCCAATCTCACCAGCCTCTATATGAATGCTGCTGTCACTGCCCAGGCAGAGACAGAGAGCCCTGAGACCAGGGCTGAGCACAGCAGTCTCTCCAGGGCCAGCTGATTGGCAGGAACAAGGTGCAGACCAGCCAGCCAGGTCTGTCTTCTGCTTTTTGAATGGACACAGCCCTTGGCTCAGCTCGGGCAGCTACAGAGGCAGAGGTCCCTTAGTGTCCCTAATAACCAGTGCCAGGAGCAGGTGAGGATCAGTTGAGTCCCAACTCCAACCCTAGGCAGAGTCCTGTTGCCAGTCCCAGGCTGAGATTCGGCCCTGGACCCAGACTGAGCCCTGCCCCACAGGGTCACACATAGGCTAGAGTGTGGCTGGCAGGATCGGCCCATTTCTTCGTTGGGAATTAGTCTCATTCATGCACAAAGGAGGGCTCTCCACACACCGATCCCAGCCCAGGGGGAAAAGGAGAGATCAAGCTAAGTTATTAACCTGTTCATCACCAGAGCCACAGCATAGGAAAAGCAGCTATGGGGTGGTGAGTGCCCCGTGACCACAGGCCAAGGACTTATCGTCTCACACGAAGAATGGAAGCTTGGCCTGGGAGACCTGGACTGCTCTTAACTGGGACAGCACATGTGATATAGGTTCCTCTGGGAAGTGACCATTTCAGGGGCAGAGGCAAAGTTCATTCTGCATCATGACAGGACAGTCAGGGCCTGAGCACAGGCCCACAGACCTGGGGTCCCCTGGTTTCCATGATGCAGGGCCATTTCGTCATGGAGTTTATTATCATAGGTATGACTGTCTGTTATTCTAGATGTGACAGAGGAAAATGAGAAAAGGAGCGGCTTTGGGACAAATTGATTTTACAGCTCAGTTTAGTGTCTGCAAATAGGTAAACGAGGAAGATATTGTAAGGAGCGAAAACTTTCCTCACTTAGATTAAATTCAACTACAATTAATAAAGTCTGGGACTTTTTGCTAGCCAAGGAAGCAGAGGTGGGTGGGAGGTCCCTGGGATGGAGGTGAGCTCCCAGGCCATGCATTGGGGCAGCGGTATTTGGGACAGTCTGTGTGCCCCCAGTCTGGTGGGACAGGTTGCAAATAAGTTCAGGGAAGTGTGACAGGTGCTGGGGAAGATACCAGGGAGTCATGAGCAGAGCGGGGGCGGGTCAGGTGCCTCTGGCCCACCTCTGATGTCAGCTGCAGCGGCAGTGGATGGTCCTCCAGTGCACAGCCTAACACCAGATAGGCGTGCACAGCACAATGGAAAAACACATGGTGTCTCGCACAGTCGCGAGTCTGCACAGCACACACACGTTCTCTCACTCATCCCACCACCCATCAAACACCAGCTGGAAAACAGGATTTGAGGGGACAGAGTCTGCCTTTGCATGTCTGATGGGGCTGTGCTCTGTCAGGCTGAAGAGACAGGGAGTACGCAGGGCTGGGACAGGTTGTGGGGTTCACTGCAGTTACGGTGGGACTGCTGAGGACACGGAGGCTTGGGAGAGGCCAGAAGGTGCCCCTCTCTTGCCCTGCAGCACTGAGGACAGTGCCCCTGGCCAGGCCAGATACTCCTTCCCCATTCTACCCCGCTCCACGCTGGCTGGCGTAGGGGAGATGGCCTTGGGATCGGGCTTCAGGCCCCTGGCAACCATCCAACCCTACACTGTCGTTTACAGATGGCCACAGGGAGGCCCAGAGGAGGAAAAGTAACTTCCTCTCCAACGGCTCCCAGGCCATCCTCATCTCCACGGCAGACTGGGCTCCTTGTCTCCCTTCACGGGGGGAGGAAGTGATTTCTCTAAGACCGTGTGACTTCTCACAAGAGCGGATCTCCATTGCCCTCGGGACAGAGCCCAGCTCTTTAGCACCGCAAACAACATTCTTCATGATTGTCTATTCCCCATCCTCTCGCTCCTCTCAACTTGAGATGCACTTTGGAACAACTCGCCATTCCCTGGGGACATTCTCTACCTCTGTACCTTCGCATGTGCTGTTCCCTCTGCCAGGAATGCCCTTACCGCTGTGCTCCAGTTAGCCTAGCCGACTCCCATTCACCCTTCTAACGTTCAGCTTAGCCCTCACCTCCTTTGTCTTGTCTGGGGTGGGTGGCCCTTCTCTGTGCCTCCATCTGCCGGGTGCTGGTTGATGTCACATCAAGGTTGTTGGTTTTTCTACTGTGACTCCCAGAGGGCAGGGCTGGTCATGTTCACTAAGCAGTCCCTAGCACCCATCAGAATGCTCCAGGCCTGTGCTCAGTGAGTCACCACTGAAAGAACAAATGCCCTGGCAGCAGCCCTGTCTCCCAGACCAAGGTTCTCTTCCCATTTGACCAGCCCTGTGTGTGTGTGTGTGTGTGTGTGTGTGTGTATTGGATTAGGGAGTTATTTCAAGGAATCCTTGATTCCATCTGTATCCTTATATTGCCTATGGACTGAAAAAATAATATGCCTTACAACTTACAGTATATGCTCTATTAGATTCCTCTGTGATGAATAAAACAGAAATAATCCACTTAAAGCCCAGCTTAAGTCTCTTGTGATTATGCGTTTTTCCTTTATTTGGACCTCAGGGGCATGCATTTTAATTGATCAGAGTCTTTGATTCATGACCTCTTGTCATCATTAGCCCATATACGGCCCAACTTTATTTTATTTTAGTCTTTTCTTTTATGGAAGTTTGTATGTAATAGCACATATAAGGAATCTGTTGCCCAATCCAAAACTAGATCATTACCAATCACTTACAAATTTATCTATATACTCCTCCCTCAGAGGGAACATTCTTTTGAATGTGGTGTTTATCATTCCTTTGCTCTTAGTTTTTTCAGTTTTATGACATGAATGTATGTCTAAACAATAGGTTGTTTGTTTCTACTTGTTTCTGAACTTTGTTAGTCAATATGCATTTTCTCAATCAGTGGACACCTAAAAGGACATCCCTACCATGTGGGGACCTGAGAAACTATTCCCTAAGTCCGAGGACATCCTAACAGCCTGCATGTCCCACTGCAGGGGCATGGTTAATGGATGATGCGTCCCCACGGTGGCTGCTAGGCAGCACCACAGCAACGTGGTGGATGAATAATTAATGACACAGGGAGATGTTCACTCTGAATTACAACAGGAAGAAGCAGGTTACAAAACTGTAGACACAGGATCATTCCAGTTTTGTGGAAAAAAGAAAAAAAGAAAAAACATGAGGCTCTATGGTTTGATAAACTTCTGGCGGATGTAAACATTATAAAAAATTCCTGGGTTGTGGGATAATGAGTACTTATCGTCTTCTTTGGTTTTTAAAAATATTTTTTTCCAAATTAAATATATGTAATATGTATTCCATTTATAAACAGATGGATGATAGTACAAGTCAAGCCGGGCAGAGCTTGTGTTTGGAGAGGCTGGGACTTCTCTCCACTAGGCTGAGGTGGGGAGGACGCGTATCACCTGCCAGGGGTCACGGGGAAGGCGAGGGTCCATGCCACACACGGGGCAAAGAGGGAGGGCAGGGAGAAGGTGGTGGATTTGCTGATAAACAAGTGTTGCCTCTGAGAGCAAAGAGCTCTGGCGAGGGGAGGGTGGGAGCTCTCCTGAAATGGGGGGCCTCCATTTTTTTGCCCGATGGCTGCTTGGCACGCTGGTGTAGCCACGGTCTCTCTTTCAA